AAGTCTACTGCAAGGGTCCTTTGTGACATTTATGACCAGATTTATCATGAATGCAGAGACATAACTAAAATTTTCTTATTGCCTTACCGCATACAGGATAAGTGAGAGATTATGAAATGGTATTGAAAGTATTAAGACTAATACAAACAATGACTCTAGGTAAAATACAACTATGATATAACTGAGAATAACATTAAAATTTTCAAGAGGCATGGATATATTGACATTGACTATGTCTTGAGATAATGGGTTTTTAGCTGGAGAGTTTGATTATATAGTAGTTTAGTATCATTAGTATCTATTTAAAATAAATTTGATCAACTGTTACTTTTCCATCACAGTAGATGCAAATCACATAGCGTTTAACATTTTTGCCCAGCCATATTACTCATTATCATGTGCAAAACGTTGTGCTACAATTCTTTTAGTTCTGGAGCCAAGGAACACTGCGGCAACAGGTAAGAGATCATTTTGATGCTTGTGTTCTTTTGTTCACTACTGACCCACCCAGTATTAGAGATGAGCTAACTACAGCCTAAGACAAGATTGTTGCATAATGACCAACCTGGGACCTTCTCATTCAGTCATCTCCTTCACTATCTGTCACATTCCAGACATATTGCATATGTCTGGAAAATAACTCGTAAAGTTATCTAACTAGAATGGGAATGTCTATGATTTTTAACATCACTGATCATTAGGGAAATGCAAATCAAAACCACAATGAGATATCATCTCACACCAGTCAGAATGGCAATTATTAAAAAGTCAAGAAATAACAGATACTGGTGAGGCTGTAAAGAAAAATGAATGTATTTACATTGTTGGTGAGAGTGTAAATTAATTCAACCATTGTGGAAGACCATGGTGATTCTTCAAAGACCTAGAAGCAGTAATACCATTTGACCTAGCAATCATTTTATTATGTAGATATATGCACACACATGTTCACTGAAGCCCTATTCACAATAACAAAGACATGGAATCAACCCAAATGCCTAGCAATTACAGACTGGATAAAGAAAATGTGGTATATATATATCGTGGAATACTATGCAACCATAAAAAGGAACAAGATTATGTCCTTTGCAGGGACATGAATGGAGCTGGAAGCTATTATCCTCAGCAAACTAACTCAGGAATAGAAAACCAAATACTGAATGTTCCCATTTATAATTGGGAGCTGAACGACAAGAGCACATGGACACATGTGGGAGAACAACACACACTGCGGCCTGTCATTTTTAGGGAGTATGCAGGGGGAGGAAGAGCATCAGGAATAATAGCTAATAGATGCTGGGCTTAATATCTAGGCAATGGGTTGATCTGTGCAGCAAACCACCATGGCACATATTTACCTGTGTAACAAACCTGCACATCCTGCATATGTACCCCAGAACTTAAAATAAGAATTGAAGAAAAAAAAAAAAATAAAAAATTTAAAAATTTAAAAAATAATTCTATAAAAAATGAATTTAAACTATAAACCCAATTTTTGGTCAGTGCTTTAGATATGATAATATTTTCTAGAGAATAGCCTAGGGATATTTTCTACTTACAAGCAAATAAAGATTATTTTGCAATGGATTATTTCCAATCCAGTCTTAACCTACATATTATGGAATTATTAAATTATAATTATATTTATTTAACATTCTCATATCTTTCTATTTGACTTCCTTCCAAAAGGAGAAGTAAGCAATTACCTGAATTTAATGATTGCACACAGTCATCTGACTAATTATGAAAAAACTAAAATGTTTTTCCCATAAGCCAGGAAGCAGTTGCTTATTTGATTGCTTTTATTTGCATTGCGAATTTTTATTTTACTCTGCAGTATTTTTTTCAAAATACAGTTAAAAGGTACTTAAAATAATGCACCTGAAAATTGACCTTTTGATGTCATGGGATGAGTCAGTATATCTTATGAGATATCTGAAATGAGGTTAGTCTTCCTCAGTTAACCAAATAACTCAAGAAAAACACAAACTATTAAGGGTTATGCTATTTAGGCCTGCACTATTTGTACTAGTTTTGTCTACACTACTTACAGCCTTTTACAACTTCTTGGATTTTTTTTCCTTAATTTTACACTTTGTGACTGTTTTTTACAGTTCACAGTCAGCTTAATTGAAAAGAACAAGAGAGATTCAACTTCGTCTTAAACTGAGATCGATATCACCAAATTAGTGCAATTTGTCCTTAATAAAATATCCTTTCTGCCAAAAGCTCAAACAACAGACAATAAGTGTGTTGCCTATTAAGACATGTCCCTCATTCTGTGTATCTAAAATTAGAAATAAACAAGGTCTTAAAAGCACCAGTGTTTTCTGGATCTTTCTCCTAAGCGTTCAGAAAGAACTTGTCTGAACTTTCATTCAGTTTAAACAACTTAAAAGCAGTGAACTTAAAAGTTAACTGAGATTCTGGCCTCTTTCTCACTGAGAGCGAGGCCTCTAAAATGTAGTCTATCTAAAGCAGCAGCCTACAGTGTTAATTCTATGGCATCCGCTACTCAGAGAATCCCTTGCTGAGTGCTGTGACTGTGTCCTGCCTGCCAGGTTAAATATCTGTGCACTGAATAGCAAATGGAATACCTCTAGGGCACAATGTCCTGTTGCAGCACGCAAGGTGCATTTTCATCACCAATACCTAACCAATTTGTTTGCTGCAGTGGCAACAGCAGAAGCATCTGAAACTGTATATTCCTTTTGCATCATAGATGGGGTATTTTCCGCACCTTCACTTAACATAACTACTCCCAAGATATATCATTAAATTGTAAACTCCAACTGTGTAAGTTCAAATATGTCATCTGGAAACACCTTAAAGTTGAGGTCTTCGGTTCTCCAGACTGCAGGTTGGTTCCTATTGGACAACCTGCTGTTTGCACTATAATTGCAGAAACTCTGTGTATAAAGTGGAGATATTCTTAATCTGCTTGTTGAGGAAATATAACTTTGGACTTTATCCATGGCTGTCATCTACAAGATTTGTTACAAATTACTTTCAGTTACAAATGTAAAATCAAGGCGGTCAATATCATATCTTCCAGAGAAATTACTGTGTCCTATTATGAAAGTTATAAATCAGGACTTCCTCTGAAATTATTTTCACTGTCCTCTGCTAAGAGTAGCCATAAACACACTGTCATATATTTCTAAGGGACAAACACAAGAACTGTGCAAGTCACGGGATAGGAAATTGAGGCTAAAGAATTATGTGAGAGAATTAAAACATAAAATAAATGCTAATGATAATCTGACATCATTACCCATACTTCTGCTAACATTTCTGAGTACTAAGTGCCAAGCATTATGTTTAGTGTTTGATATATGCTAGCTCATTTAAATATATGACACCAGAAGAATATCATGGATGACTTCACCAATGGATGGAAGGTGGGCTGGAAAGCACAAGCTTGGTCTATAAGAGAGACTCATCTAGCTAAGATCAACTTAAAGTTAGGAAATGGGAGAACAGAAAAGACCTCTCGTTAACAGTAGCTCTTTTCTGGGAATATGAATCTAAGACGATCAGTCTCAGAGTAAAACTCAGTCTTGGGGAGGTGCATCTGTGGACTACATGGGTGGTGCTCTGTCCAAAAAAAAAAACCAAAAAACAAAAAAAAACTATCCCATCTTTCTCAGCATTGGAGACCTGTTCCAGTGGTGAAAAATTGCCACTTTCCAAGAAGCATTCAAGTTTCTAAGGTCTTTTAAAGCAGGTTTGGGGAATTCCCGGCAGGCTAACGAATCTTTTCAGGCTACCAAACATTAGTCGAAAAAGATTTAAGACCAGAAACTGAAAAGTTCACATATTCTCTCCAGGTCAAAGCACTACAAGCATATGCTAAGGCATCTCCTGGATAAACCACCAGAGATGCCTGAGAATAAAATTGTGAATAAATCCTGACCCTATTCTCTTGCCTATCTTCCTTCTCATGCTCCAACACCACTTCTTTTTCAGAAAATGCCTTCTTTATGAAATTGTGGGTAAATTAATTCCTGGGCCCACTCAAGGGCTGTTCACGATCCCACTTCCGAAGTCCGCTACCTATAATTCCCGTTTTGCTTTCTTTATCTGACCTCTCTCATTGTTAGCCATCCAGCTGGATAAAAAGAGTCACTGGGAAGAAGACGCAAAGATGAAAAAATACGAGGCAAAAATCATTTTTTTTTAAATGTTTTCGGAAAAGTGATCCACGTCATTTTCAGATTCCATGAACAGATAATCTCCAAGGTATCACTCAAGTTAAAGAGACGGGACTCTTTTTCTCCCCCGCCCTTTTCCACGCATCAGTGAAAGGGGAGGGAGAAGACGGAGGAGAGAAGAGGCAGGGAGGCGAAAAAGTGACAGAAGCAAGAGAGAAAGGGAGAGAGGGGTGTTGAAGGAAGGAAGCGAGGAAGGCAAGAAGAGAGGGGTGCTAGGCGTGCTGGAGAGCCTCGGACCTCCGCTTGCCCGCAGGCGCACGGGACCCGCAAGGGCGGCGCAAGACTTCCCCCGCGCGCAGTCACCGCCGCGGCCCCAAAAGCTGGCGACAGGCGCCGCTGTCCTCCCGCCCCGTGGGGTCGCCCCTGCCCTCCCGCGCCCCGGGGCTGGGGGCGCCACCTTGCCAGCTCCGACTGCTGCAGGGAGCGCCGGGGGTGAGTGTGCGGAACAGCGCTGAGCCCGGGAGTGCGCGTCACGCCCGCAGCTGGCGCGCAGGTGGGGAAGGGGCGTGGGGACATGGGGAGTGGGAGGCTGGACAGCGCCTGCTTTCCGCGGAAACGCTGGGAAGCCGGCGCCAAGTCCTTTCCCACACTACTTTGATCCAACAGCGCAGGAATTCAAGAACTGCTCTTTCCTCTTTCTGCCCACAACCCCTGCTCCCTGGGGGCGAAGTTTCGTGGTGCTAGGCGGAGACAGTGGTCAAGGCTGGGAGGGAGGGAGGGGTCTGACCCGGGCCCAAGGGCGAGGGGTGGCAGTCCAAGCCTGCGAGATCCCACTTAGGGCGCAGGCTCCCGGCGCTCCTACCTCGGGGAGCCGCTGGGGTGGAGAGAAACCGGGCACGGGCCAGAATCCAGCAGTAGAAAGAGGGGAGAGTCTTCGAATCCATCTCTCGGTGGGATCTTGGGAGGATTCACGTGGGGGACGGTAAGATAAATGTGAGGAGCTGGAAGAAGCCGTAGATGGGAAATCGCTTGCAGTTTTCCAACTTAATTTCCCGCGGGTACGAACCATTGAGGTAAAAGGGTCAGAGAGAGCTTCTACCTCGCAGCTGCAGCCTGCCTGGCTGCCGCAGGTCTGACTCAAGGTAGGGTTGTTGGCGCCTTCCTGTTTGGAGGGGCGATCAAGCAAAAGAGAAAGAGGAATTAGAGGAGGCCGGCAGAATGAGGGTTCATCCTCAGGGTTCCTGTCCCTAAAGGGGCTGGGAGACCTCAGGGATGAGGAGAAAAAAATGCAAACGGAGATGGGCATTTGGGGAGATTCCAATGCTGGATTTGATGTTGAGGTTATTTCAGTTTGCATGAAAGAGGTGGCCACTGATGGCGCCCTGGATAAGAGAGCCTTTCCCCAGGACAGGCACTTTGGAAGAAGCCCTAAGGAATAGATTTTGTTTTTCCTGCATGTTAATTACTTCCCAGGCACCTTGACGATGGTAATATAGTTAAGATGATTTGTTAGGTGAATATTTAAGATGACATAAGCAGGTGGCATTAACCTCTCCCCCATCTTCTGGAACAGATATATAATTATTGCAATTTGATTAAATTTTAGTAGATGTGCTATGCCAAAAAAAGAAAAGAGAGAGAGAGAGAAAAAACAGAAAAACAGTACAAATTTTAAAATGGGTTTCGCTCTAGTTCCGTTTACATACAAGTCTTTGAAATTTGATTTGATGATCAACAGTCTAATGACGCTTATGTTTGGTGTGCCCCATTTGTCTGTGTGTTTCTTGCGAGAGGTGGAATGGACTCTGGGCTACCTTCCGCTGATAAAGTGAGGGTATCCACAGTAGAAGCAAACCCGAGGAAGACTCTGCCATCGCCTCTGGGCTTACAGTCTCTTCCTCTTCCTCCTCTCCATTTTCCCCTCCCAAAACTCATAAACAGGTCCAAGCATCACCACTTCGTGCCCTCCCTAAGGAAAGAGTCGTTCTTGCTTCCCCTCCAACCCCGTTCTAATCTTTGTTTCAAAGTCAGTCTTGAGAATGAAAGTATTTATTCACTGTTTGCCATCAAAAGGGGTTTTCTAAGCTTTGGGAGAGGTGGTTCAATGAAGGAACAAACTCAGATGTTTCTAGAATAAATTTTACACTTGCTTGATATTAACTTAGGAGGGTCTGTGAAAATAACTTATTTTACTAATTTTTAATCCAAGGAAATTCAGTGTATTTTTCCACACATCTTTCAGTTAGTATGAATCATTTACTCACGTTTCATCCACGTGGGCTTATTACAGAGCTAATGAGCTTAAGTTGTATTAAGGGGTTGTTCCCTTTCAACAACATACAAATAACTTATTTGTTGGAATGAGGACTTTAAAGAATAATGCCCTTTCTGCCATTTTTGCCTCATTAGCCAAATTTTATTATATAAATGGGTGGGATTGAGCAACAGCACATTTGTAAAGTCAACTTGTTCACTTTTTAAAAATGAATGTTTTACTTAACTAGATATATTAAGTTTTTATTGTTCTTATAAAGACTACTATAAAGCTGTTAATTAAAATGATACACATACTTTTCTTAGAAAATATTTTGTTTTTGTTTAAAGTTGGGTGCATATTTTTCCAAAGACTTTAAAAATTATGACTGATTCTTTTTTTTTTGAGACAGAGTCTCTCTCTGTCACCAGTCTGGAGTGCAGTTGTGCAATCTCGGCTTATTGCAACCTCTGACTCCCTGGTTCAAGTGATTCTCCTGCCTCAGCCTCCTGAGTAGCTGGGATTACAGGCATGTGCCACCACGCCCAGCTGATTTGTATTTTTAGTAGAGACGGGGTTTCACCACGTTGGCCAGGATGGTCTCGATCTCCTGACCTTGTGATCTGCCCGCCTTGGCCTCTCAAAGTGTTGGAATTATAGGCGTGAGCCACAGCGCCTGGCCAACTTACTTCTTAATCCGAAATAAAAGGAGTGATAGTTTAAATTTTCTTATCTAGCAAATATGGTCTTCTTTTAATTTGATTAACTTTTACTGGAATCATTTTAAGGATGTTTGAAGGGCACTCTCTGGTACATTAGTAATAACTGGATAATGTAAAACAACATGGACATAGCGATATTTGCAAAACCATGGCAGGATTCTCTTTTTTCCTATATGACAAATGGACGGGATGCTGTTTGAGGCAGGGTAAACAAGATGCTGTGTGTTGCCTTCTGGTTGTTAGCTGAAAGCACTATTAATCTTTTAGTGGCCAGGTCCAGAAACCCCTAGGGAAATGTATATAGTGATCCAACCTAGAACCACAGTTCCTGTGCCCTGGAAGTGGAAACTTTGCTTTCCATTCCCTCAGCTTTAAATTAGAGAAGAAATACTAATTTCTGATCTAAAAGTGAAGAACCTTGAAGTGCAGTAGGAAAACTCAAAATGGACATCTGAAACAGACATGATCCTTCCACTTGAAAAGGAACAAAAGGGACATATTTTGGAGCCTAGAAATGAACATAAATAGGCAAAAATTACATCAGTGAGTATGTAAAAGGGGAAACTCTATGAATTTCATAATCTTTCCAATTTCTTTGTGTTATTTCCTTCTCTCAGAAGTAATATGTGTCCATTTAACCTAGGGTACAGAGTACCTATTTTCTTCTATGTACAGTGGGAAGATGTGAAAGCATTTCAGCAGGAAACTGTTTCACCAATGACTTCTTGCTATTCTGTGGAGAGTTTCTGTGGGAAGACAAGAGGGGAAGGAAGAAGGCTGTCAGAGAGTCACTAATGTTTGCCAGCCTAGTCTTTAACCAGGATGTATTGTAGAGATGGTGAGAAGTGTGTGAATTCTGGATGTATTTGGAGGCAAAGGTGACAAGACTTGATGATAGATTAGATATGGTTGGTGTTGGAAGGAAAGGAATCGAGGCTCATGTCTAGATTTATGACCAGAGCAACAGGAAAAAATGCAGTTGTCAGCGACTGATGAGAGAAGACTAAGGAACAGTTACATTTTGAGCCGCTTACTAAATATCCAGGTGCAGGCATAACAGGGGTAGATGGGACAGAACTTAAGGAAAAAGCCAGAGTTTGAGATAAGAATGTGTGAGTCATCATTATATAAATGGCATTTAAAAGAATGGGATTTTATGAAATAATTTCAGGGGAGAATGTATTTAAAGGATCAAGCTGAGAAAAGAGTTCTAGAGCAGTCCAAAATATGGATATTGAAGAGGGTAGGAGCCATAAAAGGAAACTGAGAAGGAGCAGTTAGTGGAATAGGGAAAAATCCAGAAGGGTGTGATATTATGGAAGCCAAAAGAAGAAAGTATTTTTTTTTTTTAAGAAAAAAGGAAGTGATGATCAGCTGTGTCCAATGTTGCTAAAGTACAAAATTATGTAAAGGGAAAGAATTATCTTGGAATTTTACATTACCTTCATAAAAGCTATTTCAGTCAAAATGGTAGTGACAAGATTGATCTTTAAGAGTTGAACATAGATTGGTGACCTAGTGATTCCAGTTCTAGGAATTTATCTTACAGATATGTCTGCACTTAAGTAAAATAATAATAGATGTTCACAGTTACTCTTTGCAGTTTTGTATATAAGCAAACAATTGAAAACAACATAAATACGTATACACAGAACACAAGCCAAATAATCTATATATAGTAGTCCCTCCTTATTCAGTTTCACTTTCCCTAGTTTCAGCTACTGGCAGTCAACTGCAGTCTAAAAATATTAAATGGAAAATCTCAGACATACAAAAATCATGTTGTAAATTGCATGTCATTCTGAGTATTGTTCTAATTGTTCTTTGTTATTAGTTATTGTTGGTAATCTCTTACTGTGCCTAATTAATGAATTAAAGTTTATCATAGGTATGTATGGATAGGGAAAAACAGAGTGTATATATAGAGAGTTTGGAGTTATTCATGGTTTCAGGCATTCACTGCGGGGGTGGGGGGGGTCTTCGGCCTATGCCTAATAGATAACTAGGAACAACTGTATATATATTCAATGGAATACTGTCCAGGTGTTAAAATTATTAGGTAGCTTTCCATATGTTAAAATTAAAAGATCTGCAAAGTCTGCTAAGTTAGCAGAAAAAGTTGCAATGCAGTATGTTTGAAATACTATCATTTATCACGGAACAAAGAAAAATGAGCCTTTATATGAAAATATATTTTAAAAACAGTAGATAATAGTAGTTTTCTAGAAGGAGGGAAACTGGATGGTAGGGTAAAATGATAGAAGGAAGATAAACTCTATTTTTATATACTTTAATACCTTTGAATCATGTGCACATAGATTAGCTATTCAAAACCCTAAATAAAACTTCACACATGAATCTGAAAAAAAACAATGTAGTTTAAAATATAAAAGAAAATAAAGAATGGGTTATAAGGAAATGAATACTATGTATAACATAACTCTGAAAAAGTTTCAAAAAGAAGATTAAAGGTAGCTGGAGTGGGCCATGTATACTTGTTTTTAAAATGGGAGTTATTAATGTCAGAAGTAGACCAATGAGGATAAACTACACAGAAGGCAAAGTTGACAGGGGCACAAAAAGGACTACTGTGGGAGCAAATCCTTTAATAAGTGGTAGGGGATGGCACGCCTGGTGCTAGTAAGAGAGGGAACTAGCAGGATGAGGAACAGGGACAGTGCCATTTCCCAGAAACTCCCAGATTTGGATCTGTCCTTTGGCCAGCATCCTACATTCCTAAAGCTAAGTGTGCTTGGGACAGTTGTATGAACGATTGCAGTTGATGGCATCATAAAGTCTCAGGTCTTAATGTCGTTCAGATCGTCAACCTCTCATCAAATCTTTCTTACCATTGGTTGCCACTCCCTCCAGTTTCCCACATGCTCCAAACTAACACTGTCTCTGACCCCTCTCCCTTCAGTCTCAGGACAGTTCTTTACTGGGACTTCAGAGGTTCTCAGGAATGAATCTCCCTCACCAGTTCCAACTCCTGTATGTCTATCTGCT